GGAGGGGGGAGGGGAAACACCACTAGGTAATTTCAGTCTTTAAATTTCACACTCCTCTTTTTCTCATTGCAAATAAATATTTTACAATGATATGGATCAAACAGGAATTGTAAACTGACCTTGGAGCCCAACCATTATATTACATTGTTTTTAATGTGTCCTGAGCTTGTGGTAGAGAGCTTTTGTTGTGATCTACCTAGCCCGTGTTTCCCTTTTTGGAGCCCTGCCTTCTTGGGCCCAGGAGGAAGTCAACCCACTGGCTAAGAAGAATCTTGTTCTTGGAATTTGGATTGAGACACTGTGGGTTAGGGCCATCTGAGGAAGAGAAGCCTTATAGGGAGCTGAGGCAATCAGGTTAGAGAAAGGACAACAGGGGTGGAGAAGGGAAAGAGAGACGAGACAGGAGATAGGGGCTGCTGGTGGTGGAAAGAGCTGCAGAGGGGAAGAGAAAGAGCGACTCACACATGCTGCTCCGGCTCCTGATAGAATTCTACTTCCTGGCTTCAATATGACTTTTTTTTTTTCCCGCAGTACGCGGGCCTCTCACTGCTGTGGCATCTCCCATTGCGGAGCATAGGCTCCGGACGCGCAGGCCCAGTGGCCATGGCTCACGGGCCCAGCCACTCTGCGGCATGTGGGATCCTCCCGGACCGGGGCACGAACCCGTGTCCCCTGCATCGGCAGGCAGACTCTCAACCACTGCACCACCAGGGAAGCCCTTTTTTTTTTTTTTGAGAAATAAACATCTTGGAGATATGGGGATATATGTATAGTTGATTCACTTTGTTATACAGCAGAGACTAACACACTATTGTAAAGCAATTATACTCCAATAAAGAGTTAAAAGAAATAAGCATCTTTATCTAATTTTATTCAAAATTAAAACCACAAAAATGAAGGCTGACTGTGCAAACAATGAAGGAAATGGAGAAACGGTCAGGTGGGAGAAAAAAGACTGAGTTCAGCAAAACCTGGAAGGCAGGGGCAGAGACAGCTAACTATATACAAGAGAAGTACTGAAGAGAAGTGTAACTGTGCTGTGAAAACAAAAGAGAAAGGAGGACTTCATGAATTTTAGAAATGCAACTCACTTAAAAGTTTGGGACTTTGCATAATATCATGCCTGCTATTCTCAATGGAGTAGCTGACATTTGGAGGCTAAGAAGAAAGAGTTCAAAAAGGAAAATCAAAGTGCCACCTTCCTGTAAACAGTTAAAAGGGGCTATGCTATGCTTGTGGATGAAGTTACTTGGTAGAATGTTTTATTACCTTTCTTCAGCATGAATAGGATAACTGAAAAGTGTGATATTTAAGTTTAATCTAACTCCTTTTTCATCTTTCAGGTACACTAAAACAATAGCTTTTCTAGGATCATGAATAATCAGAAATGTAGATGATTTTACCCTCCAGAATCATTCTGGATATTGGCTATATCATTAAAAAAGAAAAAGAAAGAAAAGCGCCTAAGCTATCATCCCTAACAGATTGCCTTGTCGCTGTTCCTGCCAAATTCTGAGAGAAGAAATATTTCCATTCTCTTCCAATTTTCAACAGAAGTAAATAAGGAAGTAATGTGGCTAACTTCCATTCTTGTGGCTCAATATTAAGTTGGCTGAGGAAACAGCTGTTTGCAGAAATAGTTCTGGGATAATTCAAAGGAAGGAAAAACACTGATGCCCAGATGGTATTGGTTTTTGCTCCAAGTATACTGGGATATTAACGGTTCATTCTCCATAGCTAACTGTGTTCAAGGCTGTATTTACAGCTTATCCACTCTCCTCAGCCTGCACTGTTACACTTGAAAAATGGAGAAGCTCCTTACACGAGGCACACAAATGGTCAGAGTGGCATTTTGAATTGGCAAAGGGGATAAAAAAAAAAATGAAGAGCAGGCTGTTAGCACTCCTCTATGCTTTCAGAGAACAAATGTAAAGCTGTTGTGCTTATACTCGACCACTGCTATAGACAACATTAAAAGGTTAGTAATACGCAAACAGAAATCATCATTTTGAGGGTCATTTTCCAAAAAGTTTCTGAATAGCCCTTATGCTCCCAACAGCATCTTAGCGCCATCACACACCTCATCACTGGCCTTTGGGCACTTGGCTCAAATGTCAGCCTATTTTCTGGTACACTGAGGAACACCCTCTGTATTTGCTGAAGCTGTGCTTCAAACCATGGTTAGTTGTTATGCCCTTGACTTTGATCATTTTTGCCATAAGCATTTGCTTATGAAGCTAAACAAAGACATAGATATGACAAGCTTAGACTTATGATCTGCTTGCCCATTTTTTTCTCTATAGTCTGAACCTCCCCCTGCCCCCGCACCCTCCCAGTATCTCAAACTCAGTATAACTAAAAAAGAACTCCTCACTCTCATGCTCAGATCTACCTGTCCAGTATATACATAGTTCAAACGATAGCCACACAATACAATTCTTCCAGTTTTTTTTTTTTTAAATTTATTTATTTATTTATTTATTTATGGCTGTGTTGGGTCTTTGTTTCTGTGTGAGGGCTTTCTCCAGTTGCGGCGAGCGGGGGCCCCTCTTCATCGCGGTGCGCGGCCTCTCTTGTTGCGGAGCACAGGCTCCAGACGCGCAGGCTCAGTAGTTGTGGCTCACGGGCCTAGTTGCTCCGCGGCATGTGGGATCTTCCCAGACCAGGGCTCGAACCCGTGTCCCCTGCATTGGCAGGCAGATTCTCAACCACTGCGCCACCAGGGAAGCCCCAATTCTTCCAGTTTTGCAAGATCAAAGTTACAGTGTCATCATGGCTATGTGGTCAGGAACATGGACTCTGACGTTAGAGTACCTGATGTGGGACTTCCCTGGTGGTGCAGTGGTTAAGAATCCGCTTGCCAATGCAGGGGACACCGGTTCGAGCCCAGGTCCGGGAGGATATCATGTGCCTCGGAGCAACTAAGCCCGTGCACCGCAACTACTGAGCCTGCACTCCAGAGCCTGCGAGCCACAACTACTGAAGCCTGCGCGCCTAGAGCCCATGCTCCGCAACAAGAGAAGCCACCGCAATGAGAAGCCCGTGCACTGCAACAAAGAGTAGCCCCGCTCACTGCAACTACAGAAAGCCCGCGCGCAGCAACGAAGACCCAACACAGCCAAAAATAAATAAATAAAATAAATTTATTAAAAAAATAAAGATGCAGATTTCTTGGGCATCTGCATCTTTGCCGTGCATGTAGTTTTAATGACTTACAAATCAAGCCCATGTATCTTTTGATTTTCAAAACCTTACTGTAATTCAGCAATTCTCAAAGTGTGGTGCAGGCACCTCTGGGGGTCCCTGAGATTTTTTCAAAATGAGTTTCGTATTAATACTAGAAAATTATTTGCTCTTTTCTCTCTCATTCTCACACAATATGGTGCAGTTTTCCAGAGGCTACATAATGAATGCTATCACAAGAGAGTGAATGCAGAAGGAGATATGAGAATCTAGTTGTCTTCTATTAAGCCAGATACTAAAAAAAAACTTGTAACAATGTAAAACAATGCCATTCTTTCCAATAATTTTTTTTTGGAAAATATTCTTCATAGAAATCCTATTTACGTTAACATGTAATGAATGTATCATTTTAAATAAATTAACAATTTTTGAAAAGCTGTTTTGATATATAAAATGGCATACTGAGGAACTCTGGGAGAGGGAGGGTGTCAGGGAGTGCTGGGTGAGGGTGGGTATGAGGGAACTCTGGGCGAGGGAAGGGGTGAGGGGGAAAAATGGCATATTGATAGTTATAAGCACACAAACAAAAACTCTCTGATGTTCTCAATAAGTTTTAAAAGTGTCAAGGGATACTAAGACCAAAAAGTTTGAACATTTTCTATTATAATTATCATCAGCAGTATTTTAAGGATAAGACAGTTAAGTGGTTTGCCAAGATTCTATTCTTAAACCTCCAATTTTATGCATTTTCATTACAACAGAAAATCAGAGGAAAACATGTTCTATCTTATACTTAAAGTGTTCTTGTTTTTTTTGGGAATAGGCATTTTTAACATGCTCCCAGGTGATACTGATGCCCCTAAATTTAGAGAAGCACCATCAAAGCAAAGGAAACCATCTGAAGAGTTTTAGGAAGTGACAATATGTATAGACATTAAAATGGTCATTCTGAAAGCATTAAATGGAGTTGGAAGACGTCGGTTCTTAGAAGGCCAGGTGCCTTCACCTCTCTGGGACTTAGTTTTTCACATCTCTACAGGGAGGGTGTCTCTAATGCTTTCCTGGCCGTCATTTTGGGTTTCATGCATTCCACTGTCCAAGGGCAAGTGAAGAGGTGCATCTTTCTGATGAAGGGTCAGGAGTAACCTAAAGTCATAAATCACAGCATGTCACTCTTGGGCACAGAAACCTTCAGTGCTTTTCCACTGCTTTCCAAATAAAAGTCAAAATCCTTCTCCTGGCTCACAGCCCCTACAAGGGTTGGCCAGTTTAAGTCTCTGGTCTCATCTTCCTCTTTTTGCTCCACGCAGAGTAGCCTTTTTCCTCTTCCTTGGCCTGGCTCGGTTTGTTCCCACAAGAAGGCGTTTGCACTTGCTATTCCTTCTGCTTCTAATACTCTTCACCAGATCTTCAAAAGGTTTACTCCCTCGCTTCGTTCCGTCACTTTATTCTGCTTAATTTTCTTTAAAGCACTCACTATCGTCTTAGATAATCGTGTTTGTTTGTTGACCTGTTTATAGTCGGTCTCCTCCGCTAGGCTGTCAACTACTTGTGAGCAAAGCCACAGTCGCTCGTAAACCAGTATGTCCCAAACGCCCAAAGAAGTGCCTGGCAGGTATGTGGAGCTCCGTAAATATCCGACGGCCGAACTCCTGCAGCCCAGGCCAGGCTTGCAAAAGGGCAGCGGATACCCCACCCTCCTTCACGTTGTACCCCAACCCACCGCTCAAACCCACGCCTCGACACCGCTAGTAACCCACCCCCACCCCCACCCCGCCCCAGCCCTAGACAACGACCGCGGACTATCCCTCACTCACCAGACCCTCGCCAAGCTCCTTCCGGCTGGACCGGCTGCTTGACCCGGAAGTTCTCTCAGGTAGGCAAGGCCTTCTCCGTCCTGAAGGAGGACTTCCGGGGCAGTAGGGAGTGGCTTCTCTGCGGCTGTGGTGGCGGTGCGGATGGCGGCGGGCTGGGTACGGGGCTTTCTGGGAGGAGGCAGGCCGGGTGCGGGGTCTCGGGGTCGCCGCGGAAGGGGAGGAAGCGGCCTGGGGCTGGGGGGAGGGCGCCTCGCGGTGGACGCTGAGGCTGCGGAAGTGCTCTGGTTATTGAAGCGCTCCGCTTGCGTGAGGAATTCTCGTCGTTGTCAGCGTCGGAGAACTTAGGAGCACAGGTTTACACCAGAACTCCGGTTTGGCACCTGTTCTTGTAATTAGGAAGAAGGGAGAACGGATTTTGTACATCTCGAGACAAATCATTATATTAGTGAAAATAGTAATGCTCCCTCCAGACAACCATCAGGTACTAACAGCAGCTTTTACCCGTGAGGGGTTACGTGCCAGGCTCCGTTCCGAACCCCTCACATGCACCGGGTCGTTTCGTCTTTCCAGGAATCCTGGCAAGTAGGTAGTACTCTCCTCGTTTTACAGATGAAGAAACGGAGACGCAGATAGGTGAACTGACTTCTCACAGTCACTCAAGTACAGAGTTGGAAGAGTGTCAGCCTAACTACATATTATATATAGTATATAATGTGTATGTTACATGCATATTACCGTGTGTTGTAACTTGGAGACAGCATAAGGAGAGCAAAAAAATATTCCATCAATGTTTCAGCTACACGAAACATCGATGGAACTTTGTGCAGGAACTGTGTAGCCTTTCCTATTTGGCCTCTGGAGTAAGTAGGGCAGAAATAGTGTCTTAAATTAGTTCTCAGTCTCCAGAGCTTGGCATGCAACAGGTAGTCAAAAAAAATGTTTGCAAGTAAATGAATGAGTGTTTCACAGTTGGTTTTTATGTTTATGGATAGTTGTATCTAGATTGTTTTTTTCTATGTGTTTCGGAAACGTATGTATATCATATACCATATGGTCTAGGATCCAGGATGTTATATAAATCTACCTTTCTAGCCTTACGCCTCCCCATCATTCTCTTTGCCGTATTAACTACTCCTGGTATCTATCTGTATTCCACGCTGTCATACCTCAGACCTTTGAGATTTCCCGTGTTGTTTACACACCCTTGAATTCTCTCATTGGCATCTTCATCTGTCAGAATCCTAAGTGCCCTTTAAGGCAGGTATTACAAGTTCAGATGCCTACAGGGGCTAATCAGGTAACATAAACGAGTCAAGTGAATTTGGGTGGAGATTACGGGGAACTAGAGAGCACTACTCTACCCTGTCTAAAAGATCCCCAGCAAATATTTGGCATGAGCTAGTTATTAACAAGTCGAATGTGGGCCCAGTGTCGCCAGATCTTTCAGTTTTACAAGGGAAGTTAGAAATTTCTATTTGTAAACAAACTCTGATTTTTAAATGTTACCAATTAGTATAGAAAAAAGTTTAAGCACTGTGCAGGCCAAACAAAAAAAATCTGTAGGCTGGATTTGGGACTCAAAATCCCAGTTTGTGATCACTATTTTATGCTTTTTTCAAGTATTTAAAGTTCATGAGTGTTATTTCCTGATCCTAGCTTACTTTTCCTTGCTCTCTGTTCTTTTAACATTTTGTGTGTACCTCAGTTATAGTGCTACTTCCAGGCTGCCTTGGTTGTTAGTATGTCTCTTTTTTAGTATGTTAGAAATGTTTTGATGGCATTGATGGATTGGGTCTAATTTTCTGGTTAGTATATATTGGTAAAAACATGTGCTTATACATACCGAGGTCTGGGTGTATGTGTGTGTCTATGTATGTGTGGGATACGTTTATTTCTCCCCTGGTAATACTTGGTTATCCTGGAAACCAGCATCTCCTCCTTGTAAAAACACCAATAATATCTTGACTTTAATTGTCAAAGAGCTGTACTTCTGGAAGGAATTGAATTTGTTAACATTGCTGTTCAAAAGCTGGTCTGATGTAAATCTTATTCTGGTAGCTTAATTTCATAATCTTCTCTCTGAAAAATTGAGGTAGGAATGATTAATGAGTAATAAGGTTTTTTTTAAATGTCAAAAAAGGAAAAGTTGATAAATTGAAATTAACTTTTGCTCTGTGAAAAGCTCTATGAAGAGGATGAAAAGATAAGCTACAAACTGGGATAAAATGTTTACAAACCACATATCTGACAAAGGACTTGAATCTAGAATATAAAAAGAGCTCTCAAAACTTAACAGTAGGGCTTCCCTGGTGGCGCAGTGGTTGAGAGTCCGCCTGCCGATACAGGGGACACGGGTTCGTGCCCCGGTCCGGGAGGATCCCACATGCCGCGGAGTGGCTGGGCCCGAGAGCCATGGCTGCTGAGCCTGCGCATCCAGAGCCTGTGCTCTGCAACGGGAGAGGCCACAACAGTGAGAGGCCCGCGTACTGCAAACAAAACAAAGCAAAACAAAACTTACCAGTAAAAAAAAAAATCCAATTAGAAAATGAGCAAAAGATAAAAATAGCTGTTTCACTGAAGAGGATATACAGATGGCAAATAAACACATGAAAAGATGTTCAATATCATTAGCCATTAGAGAAATGCAGCTTAAAGCTTAAAGCCATATTAAGCTGTCATAGTGCACCTATATCAGAATGGTTTACATGAAAAATAATACTGCCAGATGCTGGTGAGAATGAAGAGAAACTTGATTACTCATACATTGCTGGTGGGAATGTAAAATGGTACGGCTACTTTGGAAAAGAGTATGGCAGCTTCTCATAAAATTAAGCAAGTACTATCGATTGCACTCTGGTCATTTATTCCAGGGAAATGAAAGCTTATATTCCCATAAAAACCTGTATACAAATGTTCATAGCCATTTTATTCGTAATAGCCCTAAACTGGAAACAGCCCAGACATCCTTCAACAGGTAAATGGTGAAACAACTGAGATACATCCATACCAAAGAACACTACTCAGCAATAAAAAGGGAGAAACTAGTGGTACAACAACTTGGATGAATCTTGAGGGACTTATGCTGAGTGAAAAAAGTAAATCTCAATAGGTTACATACTGTGTGATTGCATTTATATAACATGTTGAAATGACAAAATTATAGAGATGGAGAATATCAGTGGTTGCTGTGGGTTAGGAGGAGGGTGGGACATGGCTAAAAATAGATAACACAAGGGATCCTTGTAACTGAATTATTCTGTATCCTGACTTTGGTAATTGAATTATTCTGTATCCTGACTGTGGTAATCCTATTCTGTATCACATGAATTTGTGCATGTGATAAAATTTCATAGAACTAATTACACGCACACAAATGAGTGCATGTAAAACTGGTGAAATCTGAGTAATGTTGGGGGATTGTATCTTATCAGCATCCTGGTTGTGATATGCTATAGTTACACAAATTGTTCCCTTGGGGGAAACTAGGTGAAGGGTATATTAGATCTCTCTGTACTGTTTCTTACACCTGCATGTGACTCGATAATCTCAAAAAGTTTATTCAAGTAACTTTTACCAAAAACAAGCTTATATAATTCATTTTTTGGGGTTGGGGGGCTTTTATTTTACCAGGCAATGATCTAATCATGTCGGATAAAGATGATATTGAGACTGAAGTGATAACTGAAGCAACTTCCATCCTTGAAGATGAGAACTGTGAGCCAACCAAGCATTTTGAGTCAGTTGACCAAAGTGCCAAGTCAGAGAGTAAATCAGAACCTGTAGCTTCTACTCGGAAAAGACCAGAGTCCAAACCTTCCAGTGACCTTGAGACTTCAGACGTTCTCCCTGTTCAGACATCACAGGCTGCAGGCAAAGTAAAGTATCTATTAAAGCATTGAGATTAAAAAAGTATTAGGGTTAAAAGGAATACGGAATCAGTACCAAATTGGGATTGCACCTATCTCTTTCTTTTTATAACCATAAAACAGTTTTCTCAGTTCTATAAATGCTTTTATGAGTGGTTGCCTTTGCTATGTGGTGCTTACATTGAAGGTAACATACATCTGTCAGCCAAGCAATACGCTTTTTGAGCCAACTAATACGTATCTGTTCACCCATACTTTTGGCCAATAATTAGCTACCTTGTATATACACTCTTATTTTCCTCTAATTTTTCCATTTTTCTTTGCCTTTGTTTTTTTGGCTACTGGGAAAAATAGGAGACTGTTTCCAAAGATGTACCCCAGACCGGATGGGGCTATTGGGGAAGTTGGGGCAAGTCCTTGCTCTCCTCAGCCTCAGCTACAGTAGCCACAGTAGGTAAGGTCATCAGTCATTTTATTCATTTTTGTGTGCATTTTGCTACAGATCTGTGTTCAAAACGACTTTGTTAATCATTCTTCTTCCATGATTACTCAAAGGCTTTATAGTTTGAAGATACATTAGTAATGATGGGCTGATTTATACTGCCACTAGAATTGGTAACGTATTTCATTAGAAGGTTGACATTTAGGAATTAATATAAAACTATTCATTGGTGATAATGAATCAATTTTTTTTTCCTTTAGTAAGGATACACTCCCAAAGATGAGTTATATATGGTCAAAATAACATGTCTTCTGGTTGTAATGAATTTTAAAATCTGTGGTTTTAATTTTCAGCTTGTTTCTTCAGTTTTGGTGACTAGTAGCAAATAAATTCAAATATAAAAATGTTATTTTTTCTCATTAGGACAAGGTATTTCAAATGTCATTGAGAAGGCAGAGACTTCCCTTGGAATCCCTAGTCCCAGTGAAATTTCATCTGAAGTCCAGTATGCAACAGGTCAGTATATGGAAACATTAAGGCCTAGAATTATAAACTGAAATGGAATAGTTAAGCTCATTTTTTTCAGTAGATGTTTTTTGACTGTCTGATATTCAGGGCATCATGGGACTGATGAGAAATGGGATTTGGAATCTTTGGCTTTAACCACTCAGGTGTCTCTTTACTTTCCTCATCTATGAAATTGGGTGATATTTTATATTGCAGAGGACTGTTACAAAC